CTTCAGACCTAACTTGATATTCTACTCCAATTTGGAAAAACGTTTCATTATTTGGTTAAAAAAAGAGACAGTCCTCCTAGCATTGATCCATCCTGGTATGCAGAGGAATAGCCTGGCACATTGTAGTTAGCACAAAAGACTACAACACTTGTTCGCAGTCATACCCCAATATTTATTTCAGAAGCTGTTATCTATTATTTGATATAAAGCATATGGTCCTACAGACCTGGAGGTATTTTAAAATATTTCATTTTTATGGCTATTCTGCCTCTTGTCTTTTTCAATAAGACCAGGCAGTGCTAAGGTAGCTGGACTCCCAGAGCAGGCAGGACAGATGGAATAGGTTACCCCACATCTTATGGCAATGGATGGATTTTCCTTGTCACAGACAAAGTGTGCTTTCTGCATGGCCGGGGACAGAGGCAGATTTTTTTAATTAAAATTTCAATCAATTATTTATGAGTGGATTCCCTGATGTCTGAATCCAAGGGCAAGCCCTGCTGTGCTTGACTTGGTTTCTTGCGAGAGGGCTCAAAAGGACCTGCAACTGGAGAGAGCTGAGACTTTCTGTTTGACTGCTCCAGCTTGTCAGGCAAGGACAAACATTCAGGGGATAAAGATTTCCCAATTCTCAATGTCCTTGACCCAAACATCATTTGCTAAGGACACACATATGTTAGCTCTGTGCTAGTTCCCAAATCTGCAAATGTTAACAGAAGACCTTGTTGTTAAGGCAGGCCCTTTTGACACCACATGCAGCCTAAGACTGTGAATTTCTGACAAGCTGCTCAACCAGCAAATCATGCTTGGGGTGACAGGCACGTTCAGCTAAAAACTGTGAAAACTGTTCTGGAATCGTTCCCCTTCCTCCAAGTCAGACCCACCAACAGCATCAGTACTCCTGACTTGGTGGTGCTGATTGGGCTGGAAAGTCTATCGATGCAGTCAGCCAGAAGGCAGCTCTCTCCACACCCAGCTTCCCTCCTACACAGTGAAGGAGGAAGCAATCACAGCTGTTTGGACCTAAATTTTTTATTCTGAATGATTTTGAGAGTCAGGCATATTCCAAATGATCTACATTTTCAATGAACAGAAGACTTAAAAAGACAGAAAAGGTATCTTGTGTGGTGAGCATTTACAAATTTTTTTTAAGAAGTATACCTAATGTCACAGGGTTTGATATTTAAAAAGTCTTTCTGTAGTTTATTTAAACAACATGTCCTGTTTTCTACAGCAGAGAGGTAGTTGTATCTCTGTGCATCTGAGGTATTGTTCAGGTGTTTTACGTCACTTAAGAACTGCATCAAAATGGTAATATCTGGCTTTTAGACACAGAGGTCAAAAATATGAACTCATTATGTGAGAGACTGAATGTGACAGCTACACTGAACTGTGGAAATTATATAGTAGTTTTGCACAACCAAAGGAAAGGTTGAAGTGCTTACAAAGTACTTATTACCTTACTTGTGCTACAAGTATCATATTGTTTGAGTGGTACCATTAAATTGAATATAAACATAAAAAGGGAAAGGATTGTTTAACATGAATAAACTGGAACAGTTGAATAGTAACTTATTTTTGGTAGGAAATACAATGCTTTCTTCCCAGCCTTAAGAATTAGATGCAGTCTTGTCAATCAAGGGTTATTTTGTGCAGTCCTGGAGTAGGCAGCGCAGTCTGCACAGTGCTGTTTGTTAGAAACTAGTGGACGGACTCTGGATGTAAATGGATGTTGGCATTCAAGGTCATTTAGACTCTTTCAATTCAAATTTCAGAAAATTCAAAAAGGAATTGTCATTTTCCATGTTTCATATATTATGAGTGACCAAATACGTTGACCTTTTTGAAGCAACTTCTGAAAAATACACAAGGAGTTTCAGCCATCAGCTGTGCTCTTTCTTCAAGGTTTGCAACAAAACTCAATACCTTTTTTGACCTATAAAGGCCAATTTTTTTTTTAATTTATGAATGATGATTTAATGTAGTTTGTGATAATTAGATTTGGGAAGAGTGACTCAAAGAGGCATGGACCTGTTTCCTTCCCATTAATTAATCTCAGAAGTTTGTTTATAAAAAATAAAAGCTACCCCAAAAAAAAAGAACGGATCTTCACAAAAGCTTGTCTGAGCACTTTTTCCAACTTACAGAAGCAGTTGTAACTATTTTATCAATCATCAATGGAAGTGCAACTTCTGGATTTCACATAATCACTATATATGTGATTTTGACTGCTGGGTTAATAAACAGCGTTTCGCTATTCATGTACTTTTTCCTGTGTTGAATGATAAATTGTATGCATGATCATAAAATCACTTTTCTCAAAACCAGCTATCAGTTCTGTTGTCCTATAGTCAATAAAGACTGCTGAAGAGAAGTACAAAGGGAAGAGAACTAAGCAATTATGGAGATAAAAAAGAGCTGTTCAGAGAAGTAACAAAGGCTGCGATTTCATATCCAAATAGCTGATTTCCATTAGTTTTTTCCTTAGGGTAAACTCCTCCATTTAGAATCACTCTTGCTGATAAATTGTCTTACAGATTTTTAATTCAGAAAATAGGGTTTGTTCTTTCTTAGTGACTGCCTTTCCATCATCTTTATGACCCTGAAATTAAAGGGCTAAGAGACTGTTTACACATGTATTCAGCTGTGGGGCATTAAATAACCCTGCACGGGTTTTCAAAAATCAGGTCAGATTTTTCAGTTGCACATCATACATAGTATTCAGGTGGAGTCCATCCAGATACTAGCATGTAGCTTTGTTCATGGACTGATTTTGATATTAAGTACTTCTAAATGTCAAAGCTTTATACATAAATCTAAGAATACTTACAGTTCTCTCCAAGTTCCTCTCCAAGAAGGTAAACCAGATCTACAGTGTTTGGTTCTTTTGGTAACTAAAAGATGTGTTTGGTTGGTTTGTTTTTTGTTTCCCTTTCTTGCTCCAAGATTTCAATTACTTTTCATTACCACTGGAGTTGTAATGGTATAAAGATGAAACTGAAATGTTTCATATGATGAACTATTGAACTACAAGCAGGAATCAAACCACCACATCAGAATCTGGTTTCTCCATGATTGTACTGTAGCAATTCAAAGGTAAATTTTCCTCATGCTGATTAGACATTCATCATGCATTCTGTCCTTCATTTCAGTCTCTTATGTCGTTGTAGCAGTTCAGTCTTGTCACCTAAATCCAGAATAACTCATAACAATTGGTGCTAATAATTAATTTACACCCCTATCAAGGCCATTGGTCAAGAATCTGTACATAGCAAAAGACAGTTATTGCTGTCTTCAAAATATTAAATGATTATGGTCATAAGCAATTGGAAATTACTAATGGATAGATATTTTGAGAGCTACTGTCCCCTAGGTTTTTAATAAACCAGAATAGAAACTTGAATTACTCAAACCAGAAAGAACTAAAAAAACCTGAACGAGCTTTCAGAAATCCTGTTTAAAATAAATACATTTATTAACAAAGTGTTAGACAAATAGAATGAAATTCTGTCATTGTTTCTGACTGATTGCCTTTTGCAAAATGCAAAAGAGTATGGAAAAACAATGGTGTGCTTAATTAAATACAGTGCTCCCTAGACTTATAAAGATTGCCCATTTGCTAAGTTCAAGTATTTATTTAGAGAGGATGTAGGTTTTTTTAAATACCATATCTTTAGTGTCAGGAATGTTTCACAGATAGGTAAAATTGTTACATCCTTGAACTATAGCTTTAACACTTAAATGAAATATAAAGAATACTTCAAAAGTCTTTGATGATTTTGTTAACAAACATGTTTTATTTAACATGTAATGTTATAAGATTAAACTCAAAATTAATAAAGTAAAATATATGCTTTTCCAGATATAATAAGATTAAAAAAATAGTATTTTAAAAGTACCAAAACCCCCTCAACATGTTGTTATTTTCTCTGTGTTTTCATTATTGTTCTTTCAAACATGGTGCTTATTCACTGTATTTGAGCTGTAAGGCTTCTGCCTTCATCTCTGGCTTACTTAAAAATCTATTAAGAATTTATTAATTCCTTTAAAACATGCAAAAAAAATAAAACTTCCAAGAGGAAAAGCCACATAGCCATGGAGCTGCAGAACTTACTGCAAGAATACTGATAAATAAAACATCAGTTATCATCAGTTAATTACAGTTTAAGGCTAAATCCTTGGCTGGTGGAAATTGCTGCAATCATTGACTACAGTAGAGCCTATATGCACCAGCTGACTGCCAGCTTCCAAGTTCCAAGTTATGGCAAGTTGCTTTGTCTCTCCATAAAGCAGAGTATTGTATATCTCAATAATATTCCATTATAATTCTTACACATTGCTAGGAAAGTTACATTTTCAAAGACGATATATTGATTTTGAGTCCCAATATATACATCTGAAAATAGGTTTCTCTGAACAGTTAAAGGAAACCCTGGGTCAAATTATTGCATAATATGAAAAAAAATCACAAAAGTGCATACATGTATGTATGTACGTACACATGCAGAAGAGAGCCATATTGCCAATTGCAGCTACCACTATATGGCATTTACTGCTGTGGACACAGGCCTGTGTTGGGTCACAGGGTACATTCACATGAATGTAAACTTTACCCCTTGATTCGAGAGATTCCACTATGAGATGTCTTCCTATTAGGGAAAGGAGTAAGGCTAGGGCCTGCCTGGAAGTGGAACTTTATTTCAGGCATTTCTATGTGGACCAGGACTTGCCCCACTGAAGTTGCAAAATTAAAGCTTTATTGCAAAAAGAAGAAACTATTTACACCACGCTGGTAGCTACGTTAGTATGTCAACTTTATGGACTTCTGTAGAGCAGATATTAAATGATTTTTTTCCATTTCCCACCAAGTAAATCTGGTAGAAACAATACCATGTTTCCCACTAGCTTCATGAATTTTGAAGTGGCCAAGCATAGAATGGCAACTGAATGCACTGAAAGGCATCAGCACTGCTAATAAAATGTTCACTTCAAGCTCCCTCTCAATGACATTTCTTCAGCAAGTGAAGAGTTATATTTTTAACTGCAAGCATGGTCTCTGTGCAGGTTGGTTTGATCAACGTCTCAGGAAGTAAAAATCCAAAATGGCCAGTGTCACGCAGCTCAAATGCAAATGCGTAGGGGATGCCATTTTTGTAGGCCCAGTCCATAGAGCTGCCAGAACTCACATCTGAAAGAGGAAATTCAGAGAAAATTTTAAAAAATGTTAAATTCAGGTCATGTTGAAAGCACCAGAAGGTTCATGTGGCATTTTGTCTCCGGGACTCAGTGAATATACTTGCAACTCAAACTGTTGCTTGCTCTGATCCTGAACACCCTTTTGAGAAGGGCATGGGCACCCAACACCTGGTGAAAGGTGCTCAGCATGATATCGATTAGACCCTTGATTTTCATAAGAAAAATATTATAACTGACTGTTTTGTGTAAGACTCTTCCTGTCCTCATCTGAGTGCAGTCTAAAGCTTTCCTTCCACAATGGTCTCCCAGCTGAACTGGAGTTCTGTGTGCAATTCCTTTTCAGGGAGAAGAGGAACAGTTGATAAAGTAATCTAACTTCTCCTTTTTAAAGTGCTTTTAAAATTATTTTCATTTGTCTTATATTCTCACCATTTCCTCACAGCATGAGAGCATTTGCATAGGTGGTGTCTAATATTAACAAACCTTCCCGAGGAAGTGTGCTGCTTATGCTTTCATTGTCTCCCTAAGTAGATTACCCAAGACACATATTTATATAAAGATCCATCTCTCACATGGCCTGCTGTAGTCTATGCAATTCTGGCATTAATTCACACTGCTTTTCCTTTGACATAGGACTGACTGCACTGTAATGAGCAGAACAAGATGATCATGCTGTGAGATGGAGGCCCACAATAAGTGGAACTGTAGCCAAAACACAGCAACAGCAGAGGAGATGCAGGAAGTTGCTTGTGAAAAATCTTAAGCTTTTCACTTTTTCAGTATCTGTTATCATTATCCACAGCATGCAGGCCTCATAGTTTCAGTAAAGAAAAAAAAAAGTGTCTTGTTGAAACCTGTTGAACTTCTTTTTCTCTTACCTGTCAACAGAGAGCTTGACTGACAAATGCTGTTACAATTTAGTAGCGCATTTGCAGATAATGATATGCTTTCCAAGACCTTAATTTATCTTTCTTTTTTCAAAAATATGGTTTTATATGTTATGAATATTTACTGGCTTTTGCCTCTCATATGCATTGCAGTTTAATCTCTTTTATTGCATCAGTTGAGTTAATCTTACTGCAATCAACTGACTGAATCAGCTGCAAAACTTCGTCTTCCGCCTTCCTCACAACCCAAAACTGGGTCAAAGTTCATTTTAAACAGTGTTTGCTTTCTTTGTTATAATAAGGGTATTCTCCTTCTTACCATAGGAAGGTCAAAGTCACAAAATCTGCCAGAGGAAAACTTACACAGAGTGCTAGAAGCAGGACCGTATCTGTATCTTATACCATAGGCTGACTGAAGAGCGTTAACAGCATTATAGGCTGCTGATTCCTGGGAAGGAGGAGAAAAACAAATACATAAATTAGACTTTAAATTAAATAGCGTAATGGGATTGGAATCTGAGTCAATGGATCACTGTCTTCCAGTGCAATGCTGTGTTAAATGAGACTGTGGCAGCTAACTTAAAATTACTGTAAAGGATATTTTTTTTTTTTTTTATTGACAGCAGTTCCCTGAAAATCCTGGTTTGATATTTTCATGGCATAAAGAAGCTCACTGCACTGTGAATGACCAGACATTAAATACTTGTAATTTTAAGTTGTATATATCAATTTAGTGATACAATGAATTTAGGCAACGTGTGAAACCATGAGATGAAATAATCTCTTTTTTATGCAGTTTAAAAGCCATTCATCCATCTTCTGTGGCTGCACTTCCCAGTTCACTAAACCTTGTCATTGCTGGGCTTGTGACGGAGAAATGATGTCTTGTTGGCATTCCACAGTGGTTCAGTGAGCAGAGGGGGAAGAAGGAAAGAGGCAAATTCCAGGTGAATGTTCACTGCTGGTCTAACTTTCTCATGCTGGGCTGCATGATGCAGTCTTGCATTTGTGCACTAATGCACAAATGTGATTCCAGTACTATATGGGGAAAATCAGCACCTGCATTTCAACAGCTGTGTGGATGCAGTCTGTTTAGGAGGTTCACAGCATCCTGTGCAACTGGGTGCAGAAGGCCTGGCCTATAGCAAATTCTAAGGGTCACACAAGGATACTGCACCCAAACATAGAGAAGGGATGCACAACAGAAAAATTAATATTATCATCCCAAAGAAAAGGATGCTGGAGAATGTACAGTGGAGGCTGGGCAAACACAGAACCATCTCCCTATAGAGAACCGGAAATTATCATCTTAGGAGCTAGAAACAGCTGGACTTTGAATCACTGGGTAAAGCTATAATGGTAATTTTAGTTGTTTTACTTCCATGAACTAAAGAGCTGCAAGTCTATGTTTATGCAAATCTTCAGGAACTCATTCCTTACCTTGTTATTCATCAGGCTCTAGATGAATGCACTGGGGAAGTGTTACTCTATACTTGCCTTTCTGTTTATGTTTTCCTTAACCTTCCACTTGTTTGCCTTTTTCAGGAGTTGGGATTCTGACTTAATCCTTGGTCTGACCCATGCAGGTATTCCTGCTGTGGGTCTTTGTCTGAGTAGAGAAGCCAGGAAAAACTGCTTTAAAAATGTCATTCCAGAAACAAAATAAATACTGATCTGCAGATGGGGCTTTGGAGAGTTTATTTTACACTCTTAGCAAATGGAAGAGCACTTTTTTACTCCATTATAAAAATTTGTTAAGCACAACCAGATTTTTTGTTTGTTTGTTTCTCAGCAGAGGGATGATGGTGCTGGAGACTGGCATTTTCAGCTTGGCCTCTTGCCACCTCCACGAGACAGTATATGGAGGTAAGGACCATTGAACTCAATGCTTCTGGGAACTCAGCTGGACTGGGATGTGGCCACCAGCCGGTGTGAGGGGTAACCTCTGACTCACCGTAACACCAAAGATGAGGAGGTGGGAAGGGGCTCTGTCCTGTGGTGGAAGGGGTAAGTGCTATCACTTGGCACTCTTCCTCCAGATGCCTTGACTTCTGAGTTGTGACATGCAAGACCCATGATGGGGTTGGAGGTGTTGGGACCTGTTGGGGCAGTGGCCGTGGGGCTGCGCAGGGCCCCAGGGAGTGGGGAGCTCCAGATGCAGCCTGGGGCTGTTGTCTCATACCTGCACTGAAGTCCCAAGTACCAGGCTCAGTTGCTCAACCAAAATTTGCAAGCAGCTGTGCTTACCATGCCAGGGCTGTGGTGTGGTCAGGCTGACACAGGCCTGAAAACAGGCCTGATGCCAAGGAAGCAAGAGACAGGGCTCAGCTGAGACAGCTGAGAGGGGTGGAGAGCAAAGCCCTGGTAAATATGCCGTGGCAAGGAGAACATAACCACAGACAAGAAGGCACCCTGGGCATAATTTACACACTGTACAGCAATGAGATAACAGAAGCAAGTCCCGTTGAAATCTTTCAAAGAAATAATTTGGCAACGCCTGTTTAAAATCAGCACAATGGTACTGGGTTCTGTGCAGAGGCAGCAACTGTCTGGAGGTCAGGCCGGGAGCATCCCAAGTCCAAGTCCAAGTCCACCACTTAGGCAGGTGTCCCTGGGCACTGTCGAGTTGAAGCTCTTAGCCTTGAGGGGTGCAGCTTGCTTCCACTGTTGGAGCTATGTGCCCAAAGGGACAATTCTCTACCACATCATACTGTGCAGGTTGGATCCTGAATAAATCCAGGCAACCAGTATTTGAACACTCTCAAGGAGAAAATGCCACATAAAGTTACCAGATTTTTACAAAGACATACACAAACTCAGTCATGCCATGTAAGTTCACTGCAAACACTAAGGCAAATGACTATACAGGAAGAAAAGGGATGAAAAGCACATGAAATTTAAAAGTCTTGAGATAGATATATGTTTCTGCTGGTTTTTTTCAATCTGAAAGATTACTTTTATTTTAAGTATTTTAAAAGAACAGATTTCAGGAGAATGTTAATAAGAGAGTTGTGCCTAAATTAGAGCAGAATATGCATGTTGTGATCAGTACACAGCTCTCCAGTTTCAAAGCAGCTCTGAATAATTGAGCACTTTAATCGAAACAGTAACTGACAGCTCACTAAAATGATCCGACCCAGACAGAAACATCCTTTCTACTGCTCAGAATTTGTGTCCCCTTGCTAGCACCAAATGTTATTTATCTGCTATGCATGGGGGGTCCTACAGTTCTCCACTGTACACAGTCCATGTAGGCAAACAACCTTTGTTCTATCAGCTTCAGGAAACAGAGATCCATTGCTTTCTAACTCACTGTAATTTCCAAGAGAAACGGAGAATCTGAAACCTCACCCTAAGTCACCGTTTTAGAGACTTCAAGTATTAAAAACTATTCATTTAGGAGCTACCAGGTGATGGAGAGTTTGGTTGTAGGCAAATATTAAAACACACAAATAAATAAGCAACTATGTTCCATTAATTTTCACTGTGATCCCCATAACGAGCTTTATAAATTACAGGAAATTACTTCAGTTTCTTTTTCCAACCTCCTTGTTCTTTTTGACCCACCTCAATAAAAAGAAGTACAAGGTCCAAACACTGGCAAAATATTTAGAATTGGGATTTGGCTTCCATTTGTCCAGGGCTGTTGTTTAAAACAAGTGTCTCTCTTCGTTCCTTTAGGTCTGTGCTTCACACTCTCCAGTGAGGAGTTTGATCCAAGGCCTCACAAACCTTAGGAACACCTATTAAACATCAAAAACTGGGATCCTTTAGTCTAAAAGCTATGGATGGAAAGATAGAGTGTGTGTGTGCTACGGGGCAGTTACTTCCTGTCTCAGAATGGAAACATCCCTTGAGCAACAAAAACTGTACTGCAGATACACTGATGTGTGTTCTCTTTTAGACATTCCTTCTCCTTACAATGAATTTCCTGTCTATAGTGACTGCTATTGCCCTACATTGCTCTGGATATCTTCATAAGATACCCAATAATTATATACTTGTAGAAGAGATGCTGGTTCTTCCTAACCATGTCTTTACCACCTTCTCTCTTGTCTGTTCCGAAAAAAATATTCTTGCATCTGCTGTCTTCAAAGGAATTAGATTCTGTTGTTTTAAATTGTCAGTCTATGTTTTTTTGGTAAGTAATAGTCATCAATTCACTTGGGGAACTCCTTTCTCAATGTTACTCCCCAAAAGAGGGTGGAGAAGGTAGAATAAAAAGAAGATTCATGACTTTATTCACAGTCAATACAGGGCTGGGTGGTCAGTCCCCACAAGTCTCGTATTTTTAGCTCCTTTGGCTGCTTAGTTAACTTCTAACTTGCTCTGTTCCACAGGAATGATGTCAGACAGAAGAATGTTTAGTAGCTGCTGAAATTAAGTGTCTCGACAGAAATAAACCTACAAGGAGAGTTTAGCTTGTGGAGTGCTGGCTGCTCAGCCTCCTGAGAGAACAGCCAACTGAAACTTCAGTGAAGCTCCAGGGACTGACAGCATCATTTATTCTGCATAGGATAAATCTAAGGTGCAGTTAAGCTCCTTTGGAGAAAACTAGCTTAAACTAGCAAGTTAAAAGTCACTGCAACTTGCAGCTTTCAAGGTAAAAATGGAAGATATATGGAAAATGTAATTTTACTGGAGACTGAGGGTGACAGAAAGAGGATTGCAACTGGTTGATGCAGTGTGGGTCTGTGAGCAGGAGCAAACAGAAAGCAAAGCTTAGCCAGATTTCCCTGAGAGAATAAGCCATAAGGAGGGTTTTATGAACAGGAGGATGGCTAAAACAGACCTCAGACTGCAAGCAGAGGGAATAGTTCTGCATTTGGATGAGCATGAAATACATGAAATGTATGTATCTAAATCAATACGCTTACATCAGAAAATGTATTCTTATTACTTTATTCTTCTAATATACAGAAGCCTCTGATGTTAATTAACTGCTTGTCTTAAACAGTTAAAAGCACTGTGTCTAAGCAGAATGATACATAATGCAATTGAAGCTTTACTTTTGGTGAAATCAAAAGATTTCTCCTTGAACTGATAAATGTAAACAATTTCAATTTTTTTTTTTTGTTCATAACATTGAAGATGATCTACTGTATGATCCTAGTGTTTAAGTTCTGAGCATGAAGAGACAGAATTTCAGCTACATGCCCAAGGACTTGACTACATAATTCCCACTACAGTTAATTAAATAAAATGATAATAATTATAATTAAAACCTAGGGATTTATCCTATAAAGTAATTTAAAGGGACTGATGGATGGAAAGCACTATATCATTTTAATCAAATTACCACGGACTCATGGTGAGTGAAGGTTATATAACCAGAAATGCGATTGCAGGCAAATCCAGAATAAATACTTCTCAATGTTAAATATGTGCAAAGTATTGAAGAAACAAGTCTCATCTCAAAACAAAACATACAACAAATATTATATAAGGGAGCATATTCTCCCAAGTTTTAATGTACTTACCACACAGCTGAAGTTTGGAATAGTTTCATACTTGTAAGAGTAAGGGTACAGCAGCATCTGTGCATATGCATGGAAGGACAAGTAGGCTTTTATTTGTTTCCGATGTTTGCGGAGGAAATGAGCAACGGCCTTTACTTCAGGCTCAGACTCAGGAAAGGGACCACAGTACGTGTCATCACATGGGTGAAATGAAGCACCTTCATCTAGAGATTGAAAGAGAATTTCCAAGGGTCAGCTTCTGGCTCAACCTTTTTTGGCCCCCATGAAAAAGCATGAAAAGCAATAAACACATTGCTTTCTTGTGACTGATGAGCTTGAGTCAGTGGGATCTCAGTACAGCAATCTGCTTGTTCATCTAGTAGACACAACGAGTTTCCAATTGGCCAACTACGGGCAGTTCTCCCAATAGGATATATTTCAAACCCAACAGAAAAAGGAGAGCCTGACTTCATTGTCCTTTCTTCCCTGGCTTTCTGTATCAGTAGCACTTTTTAGACAGCATTCTCTTATTAAAAGTATTGATAGGTCTCAGTTGGTCTGTTTGAAATCAGAAAGCTATACCTCTTTATTAATCACTGCCAAGACAAATCTAGCCTTTAAGAGCATTTTAATGTACTGGTTACTACAGTGGTGGTTACAATGGTAGATACATAACCTCAACAGGCGTTACCTTAGAGACTGGTTTAAAACATGAGAATAGTTCCTGACTAGACTATTTTCACCCTTGCAAACCTTGTGGGGAAAAAAAATGACAAGCCACATGAGATGATCACTCAGTTAGTTAAAATAGAAATCATCTCAGTTTGTACAGGGCCTGAATTTCCTTCAAGTCTGGGGCAGGAGTTCAGTTTTGAGGATATCTTTCACTACATCAGCCTGCTCAGGTGGCAGCAAGCTGCACAAGAGTAGCCTACTTGTAATATCCCATGAGGTACTGAAAGATGAAACTTAGAAAAGGGGATGTGGTGGTGGCTCCTTTATCATTTAGCAATTCTGTATCTAAGCCATCATCTCATTTACAGCTTAGGGCTTGGGCCTGAAAGAACAATATTTATGCAAATCCACTCCTCTCCTGTCTGCTGTGATTTCAAAATACCATGTTTTACACTGACCTGCAGAATAATAATAATAATTTGTTTGAGAACTTCCTGGTGCCATTAGAGACTTACAAAAGCAATGTTTTATTTGTACAGTAAGTACTGCCATCTTCAATTAATAAGAAAAGAGCAGTGTGTGAGAAGACATAAAGATATCAACTAAACCAGGGTTATGCAATCAACATAATGCCAAAATTAAAAAGTGGAAGAATTTCATGCTGCAGTTTCATTTTAAGATGAAAACTGAGGCTACCATTCAGTGGCCACAGGTGGGGATTTCAAAAGGTATTAGTGCTTGGATTGCAGTGGATATGGAAGGGTTATATAGAGGGCAGATGGTATCTTCCATGTAGAACAGATGGCCACCAAGTCATCCAAATCTCAAGAGCACTCTACCTCAATGTCTTGTCAGATAATATAGCTAAAGGAGAGCTATTTAACAGACCCTCCAGAGTCTTTGCTTTTTTTTATGAATACTTCATCTCCTGTAACAGTGTATACCAAATCATGGAAATGAATATCACTGTTAATAAACAGTGGAATCCTACAAGCTAAGGGTAAAATGACCCAATGGAAAAATATGACTCAGTTTAGTGACTTTCAGTGAAGAAAAAAACTTTCTAAACTTTCCAGCCCATTATTGTAAGCCATTTGAAATCCCAGCTTTACCTTAAAGTTAATGCTTTACCTTAAAAGAAGCTGGCTGTAGTAAAGAAAAAGGGTTTCAATGGTAGCCTTGGATAATGTAAGGATATACTCAGTTTTCATACTGAAAATTCTTTTAAATTAACTCAAGAAGGAAAAAAATTGATACAGTATGTAGCAACTCCTGTGAAATTTCTGAGTTACAATCATGAGAAGCAAATGGAATTGTGTAAAATCTTACCATGTTGCCTTATTTTTGTACCTGATAGCATACCAGGGGAGTAGGTATCCTTCAACATCCATCATGAGATCAAGCGAACAAAGGAAATGTGTGCTGAGACTGATAAAACCAATGCTTTGATACAGAAAGAAGACTGAGACGATGGATGAGCTGGAGCATGATTCTCAAACTTCCTTGCAGCCACTTCTACCAGTATGGGGTACTGTTTTCAGTGAGCACTGTGGTGCACGGGAAATTGGGATGCACTGGAAATTTTAACTGGATTTGCCCTATGACACAATTTAGTTCTAAGTACCTCATTATTTGTTTTAAAGTTGATATTTATTTCATTATCATTAAACCATTGTGCTGGTTGTTGCACATATATATGTATTGCAAGGAGCATTCCCAGAGTTTTTGCTGTCAGTATTCACATGGATCTGTGCACAATTTCTGTGGACTATTTTGGGTACGAGGGTGCTGCAATGTGAAATCTGGCACAATCAGTGATATGGCTTTTTTCTTGGTCCCTAGAGAATACAGAAGTGATATCACAAAGTTTACATCAAAGCCCTACACTAGCAGGGAAGAGGAAAGCAGACAGGATGCTGTGATATCTGTACTGACTAGCTCCCTGCTGCTAGCTTGCAGTGGCTTTGCTGGGGCTGGATTCTGCCACAACACACCTGCCTGGAAGCCCCACAGTGAAGTTCAAGCCTGTCTGCAAACTGAAGTATGACTGAATTGAATGAAAAGGTTTTTACAAGCCCATGCAGTTTTAAATGTTAAACACACCATGATTATGCAAGCTTCAAAGTGTGATATGATCCAGATTCTTCTCTGACTCATTTAGTGTCCAGGACCTTCTGAGCACCAGTCAGCCCAGTTCATGAAAGAGCTCTTTATTCTCCATCAAAATAGAAAATCAGACAGAGTTTGGGTTCCAGAGAGGGAAGCAGAGCATGTGCATGATGAGCAACCTTGAAAGAATTTTTATTTTTTAAACTCGGGGCGAGGACCTGTCTTTCATGTTCAGTGCAGGGGAAAAATGCAACAAGTAGGGGATTACAACACACAAGGCATGTGGGTATTATGACAGTTTCACTCAGGTTAGAAAAAATAGGTTTTTAAATGAAAACTAAGCAATTATTTTTAGGACTGAGTAAAAATGTGCTCTAATACAGTGGCTAGGGAGCAGGAAAAGGGAGGAGCAGAGAGATGTGAACTCAAGAAAGATTAATTAGGACTAGAAAGAAAATGCACTGAGTATTAATGTTGCACTGATAGGTACCTAAAATATGTGTCCAAAGACTTCATAAAAGTACTGATCATTCCAACTACGCCAGTGGCTGTCTTCTGAACAGTAAATGTATGTTCCCAAAATACCTGCAGTTGTGACTTATGCACTTGAATAAATGATGATAGCAGTGATGCAGGATTGGTTCATTTTTACATTATTTTTGCAGCATAAAATTGCATTAAAGACTGTGATAGAGGCCCTGGGACTCAGCTAACATAGGCTTTCCGTAACTACTTCTGTGTCAGTCCTCTCCTCACAGCAAGTAGAGTTGAAAAAATTCGGAAGCATATTTCACAGGTCCATACTTTACTGAAAGTATGCTTCTGTTCACACTCACTGCATTTGTAAACTTCCCAGGCAGATTATTCACACTCACTTTTATCCTTACAATTCTCAAAGCTCTGCTTGAAGAATCCAGTCATTGCAAGCCAGACCGCACGGTGCTCACTCCTACTGCAAGTAATCAGAGTATTGTGGAAACATCTAGAGACTTCCAGAGGAAGAGGGATGAGCCGAAGGGAGGGCCCTTGCACTAGCATTATGCAAACACAATTTCTTGTCTTTACAAGCTTGTAGTATAAATAAGGAAAGTGGATTAATGCTGGAGGAGAAAAGAGCTGCACAGAGAAGTGAAGGAAGTTGCTCAAGATGGGAGAGTAGGTCAGCAGGTATAAATTGCTGTATTTCATAACAAAGTGCTCTTACTTTCTTACACCAGAACTTGTAGGGCTGCTTACACCCATGTGAGTTGCACTGTATTCTGTAAGATTTAATCAAATACTATTTCTTCGATGGACCCATTTCAGCTCTTCTGCTAGTTATTTCATTACTGCTGCATTCTCTATGCAAAACTGAGGCCAATTTTTATGTAAGTATTTACAAAAGTGCTGGGAGATTCAAATTGTATCTCCATGCATTTAGAAACACCTTCTTTCTGTATTAAATCACTAATAATGAAGTCCTTAACATTGAGGCTGACAAAGCAAGTTCGACATTTCCAAAGCTAAAATAAATTCAGAGCAATGAAGAATTGAATAAAATGAAGTTTGAAATGTTTCCTAAAGCTGTAGTCAGGTGAATCCTGAAAAGTGATGGACCAGTCTCAATACTGGGCTTCAAATTATTTATGTGATTGCCAAAATACAGAATAGCTGTATGTGTGATTTTTCACTTTTGCAACAATTTCCATGAAAACTTTTTACTTATTGTAAGGCCTGTTTCTCCAAAGTTCAGGACTTTTATTTTTTTAGAACATAAAAGGAATATTTGAGCCTTGGCTTGTGGCTTTATGAGAAAGTACCTTCAACTTTAACTGTGGAAAAGAGAACACTTCACAACAGATGGGATCTAACCTACTTGGATAATTGCCTCTGTTGGATAATTAAATACGGAGTAATCTGAACTGGGGGACCAAAGCACCTCTGTACTTACCACACCATTTCACTTTCCAGTTGCGATTAGCATCAACACCATGACAGTGAAACCTTGTGTTCTTTGATCTTGTTTTTCTCCAAAATCGATCCTGACAGGAGTTACAAAGTATTTAAATAGCAATAGTACTATATTTTGGCAAATATCTATTTGTACACATAACAAATCAACCCTAGTAAACACATACAGTATTCTACTTTAACTGAAGTAATTTACTTCCATTTTGCAAGGAAAAAAGTGATGGACCAGATTATACAGAAAGTCACCTTTGAATGATGTACAACCATTCGATCTTTCCCGTCTGAATAATTTTTTGAGTAATACTACTGAAATTACTTACATTTGTCCAGCTAAAATGATAACCATCCACATTAAATACAGGCATGATATAGAAATACAGCTGAGTTAGCATCTTTCTCATAGCAGGATCAGTCTGGTATGTCTGAAGAGCCTAAAGCAGAAAAGCCAAAGAAAACAGTTTCCATAATAAAAATAATTTTCCAATTAAGTATTGTGACAGGCTAAGACAGTCATGAGGCCTTCAGCAGTACAGATATCTGATCTTATGGCACCACAGACATCCTTTGAGCTCTGCTTGAAAGGCTGACGTCTTCCTGCAAATGTGATTCAGACAGCATGTGAACACATGAAAAACGTGTTTAAAAGACCCTATTCTCTCTGCTTCTCAGCTACTTTCAGTAGTCAAGAAGATACAACTCATATTACAGAGAAGCAAATGCATACAAACTATTTCTTGATATAGGAGCTGAAAGCCAGTGGAATAGATTTTTACTCGGGGAAATGAGTTTAGCTCCCATAAGACAATGGAGTCCTGTTGTTTCCATCAGGTGACAATTTGATAAGATCTTAAAGCATTTAAGGCTCCCATTACACAAGCTTTTGTTGTATTCATAATACATGCACACTTATTAATACAGGGAGCTTACTCCTTTCTAACTTAGAAACCCCTATATTTTGAAGAATCTTAAGTATAAAGGTTGGTAGAGGAAGGCTAGGGAGGGAAAGTATTTTTATTTTCCACTCTGCATCTTAGAAAAACACAGCAAAAATCAGAGGCTCCTCAGCAGTTCTGTTTGCTAGTGCCAGAGATGCTCCTTTACCAGTTCCAGGAAGCTTGGACTCCACATGCTGTAGTAAATACTGTATCTTGTCATAGCTGGGCACCAAATTTGCATCCTTCAAAGTTTGAGTGTTGACTCTGTAAGGTGAGGAATCGAGTGCTTCATGTGGCAGGCAGAAAGCGTTTCACGCTGATGCTGGGTTCAGAGGGATGCCTGAGCCTGGCTCCTCTCCTCCTGGTGCTGTGATTACAGCCTTCTGCTCTGCAGTATTTCTGGCCCTTCGGATCCGAAGAGTAGCATGTGTTTGGGGGGCAAAGGGAAATGTTTGCTCTGAAATAAACTAAGCTAAATGCTTTTCAATTGACAAATGCCAGGGAACAGTGTGAAGTACAGGAATTCAATACTTTTGGGCTCCCAACCATGCAGCTGTTTGAATTACTGAAGCTGCCATGAGAGCTGAGGGATGCTTTTAGTGGAACACTGTTAAGAAATAGCCATACAACTGGATGTGTCTGGGTCTGGAATTTACTCATGGAGAGGTCTGACATTTTTTTTCTTTACTGAGGGGATTAGTGAGACTTCTAAATACATTTTCTAAGGGGTTCATTAACTACCTCTCTGTTGTGTGATGCTTTCTCCTCACCCAGCATCATTCTGCCCTCCCAGCAGCGCTCTGCACATGCAAGTCCTTCAGCCTCATTTGCAGATCCAAAGCAGTGCGTCATCCCTGTGCAAAGCCAAGTCACTTAGTGCTACTCCACACTGTTTCAGACAGGCAAGAGGAGGGGAAGGTGAGCAATAGCAGGCAAAGGGGCACAGCACAGAATGAAATGAGATTTAGGCAGCAGCTAGCAGAACATCATGGTGTAGAGCATTGCAGGGTGGCATGAGACGACAAAAGAGGGGTTACCACAGGCAGAGAACACATCTAACTAGGTAAATAGTCTAGCCCTGCATGTAAATCTACATGGGATAAAAGCCTGTAAGGTGAGTATGTATGTGAAATCACTAAAACTGTTCTTAGAGTGGAGACAGAACCAAGCCATGCTCCAGAATATAAGTCAAGGAAAATGAACATTTTTACTGTGCTTATTTCAGGAAGAAGCAATTTAGCTGGGGAGAAAATGAGTCTACATATACCATTTCCTTGACTTTTTTATGCTTTTCTCTTTTTAGACAGTATTAGCAAATTAAGCTCAGGTTTTGTCCCCATGTTGGATATTTACCTGATAATGAGATTGGCATACGTGCTTGTATCTGTACTTATGTATGCCATTCTTTCACTGTCAGCTGCATCTGTAATTATGCATTTTGCTACGCTGTAGTGTTATGTACTGTGTTTTAAACTGCAATGGTGTAAGACTAAACACTTTAAAACACTTTTAAATTATCTCCTTAAAGTAACTACAGATAATTAATTAATTTAAGGTAATACACTGCTTAAAATTGCATGGATGAGCTTTGTAAGTTTTTCAGAACCCTTCCAAGTTTGCAAAAAATGACATAATGAAAATACTTGAATTAAGACTTTTTAATATAGGTTTTAAATCCTGTGAAGAATATATTTTTCTTCCTAGATAAAAGTACTACCATTTAGAAACCTAAACAAAACATAGACAGCAAAATGCCAAGCACTCTTTCATTTTTTTAAAGTTACTCTGTGTTATTTTAATGCCTGCTGTCACTGGCAAAATATCAGGAGAGACTTTAGGAAGCATTATAGTCTCCTGTAATAATACTGAAATTTGAAGCCTTAAAGTTGATTTAAAGCCAAACATGTCAATCACTCAGTGCTGTTCTTTAAAGCATATACGGGTTTTCTTAATAACTTGATTACCCTTTTAGAGTAGCATTTCATTAAAAATGTAGTGGAACTAGTGCAGCTTTCTTCTTCATGGAAAGCAAGAGTGTAGATGGTGTAAAATGTGATCATATTCACTCTTTCTGCTGAAAATATTTTGTCTTTCATACTGCTTTTATCTGGCAATTTTATTTATGTATGTAATCAGGCAACGCGGACTATATAATCTCTGGCAATGTGCCTTAGAGTTACCAAGGTGTATCCTTGCTGGAGCAAAGCCCACAACTTGCCTTTTGTGACATGATTCCCAAATCCTCCCAACAACGATCATGTGAACTACCTCCCCCACCCTCCTCTGGCGGTGTTGAAACGTTTTCTCCATATGTGACACAAGCGAGGCAAATATAAACCATTAGTGAATTAACTGCGCTGTAGTTTGCACAGAGCTCTCAGAATATGGCTTGATACTGCTTCCCCATCATGCAATCAATAGCAGCTTTGCTGCTGAACATGCAGAGAGCCAAACCAGCCCAATAAATGCTGAATAGTGTTATTAGTGAGTGAACAGATGATACAGGAACCCTGCCAATACCGTGCAAGCAATCTTCCTGGGGGATGGGGGAAAGGAGCGGTGATTAATAGGAGGGGGCTCGTTCATCTGGATCAGCTGAGTGGTGGTTGTTGACAGAGCTACACCGGCTTAGGCTGGCAGAGGATCTGGTCCATAGGAAATTTAATTTAGGGGACGAAGTAAACAAAAGAGCTATATTAGAAACTGCCAAGGCAATAAAAGGCAAGGGTGTAAAATGGATTTAGGATGCAGCTAGGCTTTTTATAAAATAAGAGGATTGACCGAGAAAGACAAAGCAAGGAGACAGGGTTGAGAGAAACTCTAAAATTGCAATTGAGCTTAATAACAATTTGCTATCCCAAAATTAATTATTATTAAATTTAAAGTAGCAATCAGCTCTTGCTGTTTCTGGTTTTGAATTAAACCACCACTGAACTAAACAGTTACTATTTTAGCACACGGAATTGACTCTCTTTACTGTTGTACCAGAAATCACATAAAACTGCTTCTTACAAAATAGGATTAACTCTTTCATGCCATTATTAAGATATTACTTAAACCATCCTTTTTGACAGTAACATACAATATTTTACTATTATCTGTACATCTTACACTTTAGGAGGGTGATACTATGATCTGCAACTCAGGCCTTCATTGACACTTCATCAGTTTGACAAGCTAGTAATTAGCTCTGTCTTTGTACTTGGAAGCAGTATACCTTTTTATCTCCTTTTTCCCTTTTACTGCTAGTATCCTGCTTTAGCAGGATTCAAATCACAAGCAGAGTGGTAAGCCTGTTATTAGGGCTAAGATACAACTGAGTATCTGAAAACAAATGGTTTAAAACAAAGGGTCAAATCTTCAAGGTTGAAGCTTGAACTGTGTCTGATGTATCTTCCTTCCTTCCTCTTTGGGAGCAGGAGAAACCAAGAAAAAAGTGAGAGATGACTGTGCTGCAACTGCTCTTCAATAATCAGGAGAGAGCCCATAAAAAGAGTCTGACAAGAAGGATCTGAAGAATCCCAATGTAAATGGATGTAAATGGAGAAAATGCTGAAGTAGAGAAGAGCCGGAGGGACTACGATGTGATGTTAGAGAAGAAAACAGCCATTCCAGGAAGCTTGTGCAAGGCTGGGACCACTCAAGCAAAGGCATGATCTTGTGGTGAAGAAGCTGGATAACTACACAGATCTTAGTAGAAATGGGAGACATAACTTCTTGGTTCCGTTCTGTGAAGTAGAACTTAAAAAATCTCTTAGGTCCCAAACAAGTCAAGGACTGCCTAGCACAGAAAGGAAAGGCCAGTGTTATTCCGAAGCACTGTGAGTGCTCTGATCTACTAGCGATTGTATGAAACTGATGCCCACCAACTTGGTGGAGACCTGCCGAGATATATGCCTCTGAAAAATGTAATTACTAAATTTTACATCCTAGTTATGTTGGTCCAGGGTAGTACATATTGAGGGCAACCCAAGAGGATTCACTTGAATACAAGGTTTAACTAAATTGTTGAGACACAACTAAATAGAAGGAAGGACCCACAGTGACCATCGAGTCCAGCCCTTAGCCCTGCACAGGACCATCCCCAAGATTAATATCATGTGCCTGAGAATATTGTCCAAATAATTAAGATACAAATTATTGCTTGTAATTCCATTTCTGGAACCACTAAATTGTCCAATGCATGGAATTTTCTTTCACAGTCCTTTCTCATGCTCCGTATTGTTTCTGCATATCAGTAGTTTTACCGAGGCCCTTCTCAGCACCATGATACAGGAATGGACTGCTAAAATATAGAGCAGAATTTCCTCCCCAGGGCAAGTAATGTGTTGGAACAACAACGCAAATTCTTTTCATGACTTGAAGAAGAACATACTCAACATCTTAAAAGCCTTTATGAGGTAGAATCTGAATGTCCTAGTGATGAATACTTACATAGGAATTTGTGCAAGCGTCATTGAAGAATTCTTACTACAGGCACAACACAGCTGCAGCGT